GGTTCCTTTGCCACCAGCCTCCCTGTGAAAGAAGTGGCTGGGTAGTCCCGGCAGGTCTTAGATGACAAACAGCCAAGACTCAGAAAACACACAGCAGTGATGTCTCCTTTTTCCTCTCCTGCCAGGTCTGGGGGAATCTTTGCCTCTTTCTGTAAGGGAAACAGTTTGTGATCGCAAAACCATTTTGGCCTTTGAAGAAGACCCAGGGCCACCACCTTCCAGTGTCCACCCCCTGGTTTAACTTTACCTGGACCTGGAACTTGAAGCCGGATGAAGGGTAGAAATGACGGCGCAGATTTCACGGAAATGTTAACAGTTCTGGCTGCGGAGATAAAATAAAATACAAACAAACAAATAACTATGTCTTTTAGCCAGCAAAACACACTTCATTAAAATTCGGTTGAAAGGAGCCCCTACTGCACGCCGGATCAAACTTGAAGACCACGCAGGACACCAGCGAAGACCCTATCCGAAGGGCGAGAGCTCGGTTTCCAGGAGGGAGGAGGGCAGTGGAGGAGGAAGGAGGATCTCTCAGGTGTCTTCCAATCCGACAGCTGTTTTGGTCGTGCATCTGTCCTCCCACCTCACCCCTCCCCCTCCCCGTTAATTAAATACACGCTCCCAGCCGGAGTTTACAGCACAGGACTCGGCCCTCGGGGAGCTCTTTCCTGGTGGTTGGAAGTCTTAAAACTCAGTCTCAGAGTCGAAGAGCTGGCAACATGAATTTCCAGTTCCTAAGGGTAAGGACAGAGGCCTGGGCCGACACTGCCAGGAGGGACGGACGGACGGCGGTGGGGACCGGCGGGCGCCGTGGGGTGTAGGGTGGCTCCGGTGCGCTGCTGCCTGGTCGGGTCGGCCTCGCCCGCCGGGGCTGGAGCAGGGAGCCGAGTCTGCGCCGCCCAGCGTCTGGCGGTGTGGACCTCCTCTTCGCCTTGCGGCGACCAAGATAAGTAAGTTGGCTCAGCTGGCCCGGAGGTGTGTGGTGGCCTCGGACCCCCGAGCCCCGGAAGCCCCCGGGTGGACTGGGGCTCCTGCCCTAGGCCTCCCGCCTATGTCTGGTCGCACACAGATAGGTCCCAGGATGTCAGTGGAGAAGTGACAGCGCTTTACAGGAGCCTGGCTTGTTGCGCGGCCAGGTGTGCGCGGCCTCTAGGAGGCCGGGGTCCCCGTCGGCAGTGCAAGGGACAGGTAGGCGTGCCTTCGATGGACCCCCGAGAGCCACTAGGAAAGCAGTCTTCAATACTAAGCAACTTTGTGACTTGCGGGCGCAGTTGGATATCAAAGTGCGCCTCTGTGGTTATAAAGTGGGGCAGACGGTCGAGTTAGGGTCTTTGCTTGTGACGGTTCCGTTTGGAGAGTGAGGTGTACGTGAGCCACCCCAGCAGGTCTGGGACAGAAATGGACCGGCCTCCTCGGAAGCTTGGGAACCTCAAGTCCGCTCTGCCTCGCTTTACTTTTGTGTAAAAAGTCGCTTGTTGCGAGGAGGCGCTAAAGGCGTAGGAGGCGCTGCACGCATGCGGTCTGGCAGAGTGCGCTGGGAGCCGGTGGTAGGGCGAGTCGGAGTGGACTGAGGCCAGAGGCATGCTGTGTGAGCACAGTGCCTGCTTTACACACTATTAAAAATGTAGCCAGGCATGGTGGCATACACCTGTTGGTCCCAGTACTCTGGGAGGCTGAGGCAGGAGGACCACGAGTTCCAGCCCAGTCAAGGCAATTTAGCAAGACCCTGTCTCAAAATAAAGAATTAAACAAGGCTCAGAAATGTAAATACAGCTCAGTGTGAAGGCCCTGAGTTCAACGTCTAGCACCGCAAACAAAAGCAGCTATTTTTTATCAAGATTGTTATTCTTTCCGGGTGCCCGAGAATTGATGTCCCCCGGGCGTGTGCCTTAGTGGGCTTTGACAGTTCTGGGTACTTCCTGAACCTCTGTGCGTTTTCAGTGGGTGTCAGTGCCCTGGCCGGAGAGTGGGCGTGGGGATGGACACTCTCCCTCCAGATTTGCCTGGCCCGCTCCTCTGACCTTCTCTACCCACTCCACACATTCCCCACCCCGGACCCACCTTTAATGAGGTCCCGGCGGGGCTCGAGCTGTCCCGAGGGGAGGGACCAAGGCCTGGCGCGTGGCTGGCGTCTGCAAAAGCGCTTGGGGGCCTCCACCTGCTGCTCAGGCGCCCCTTCCCCTGCGGCGGGAAGAGGAGTCCTAGGCCCGGCCCAATCCACCCCTGTCTGCCCAGCTGCCGACTTTGGTCTGGGATGGGGTGGGGCGGCAGGAGACTCCAGCCTGGGGCGGGGAACCCAGGCTCCAGAGGCACCCCCACCCCACCCCACCCCCGTCCCCTTCGGAGGTGGCTCCCAGCAGGCTCCTCCGTCCTGGCAGACACTTGGTCTCCTCCACTGGGCCGGGAGTGTGAGACTGCAGGCTCCCTAGGGGGCAGCAGAGGGGAGCCCCCTCCCTCCAATCTTTCCCTTCGGCATCCCTCGTTTTACCGCTGTGAGGCCTCTGGGGCCCGGGTGGGCACCTTTCCAGGGCGCTGGTGCCCAACCGCGCAGCCACGCGTGCGCGTCCTCCCGTGGGCGAGGGGTGGGCGCTTGGGAGGGGGCCGTCTGGGTAACAGAACCGTCGGTTTCGGTGCGCTCTGCTAAGCCGGGCTCTCACAAAGCTGAAGCTTCCGGAGTCCCGACCCGGGGCGCGAGTCTGGTTCCGGCCGAAGCGGAGCTGTGCGTGTTGGGGCAGGGTCCCCCGAGAGAGGAAGAGGATTTGTTCGAGCCGCCTTCCCGGCGGAGAGTTGCGCAGCTGTTGGAGTGCGCCTTTGCCAAGCGGTTCCGCAGCCTGCGGGCCCTTGGCGCTCCCCAGAGGCAGCGCAATCGCGCGGTTCCCTGGCCTCCGCGCCAGACCGAGGGAGGACTCTCGGTTCCTTCGGGCGGCTCCAGCGTGTGGATGGACCGCTGGAGCTTGGGGTGTGGGATGTAAGCGCCCTTCAGCTCACGCCTGGCGCCACACTGCGGAGGCAAAGTGGTCAACACAGAACAGACTTGCAAGCTGCCCCCTAGATCGGGTCTCGGAGAACACCCCGAGGCTACAAAGCCCGTAGAGGAGGGGGAGCCCAGCGTCTCCAGTCGCGGAGTGTGGGGCAGCCGAGGGAAGCGCCGCAACCTCCTTCTCGCGAGAGCCTGGGATCCCCCCACCCCCTGCCCGGCACAGGGCGCCAAGAGTGCCGGCCGCGTGGGTCCGATTCTGGTGTTGAGCAGGTGCCCCTTCCCTCACCCCGACCTCCAGGTGCGCCGCTCCTGTGGTTGTTTCACCCCAGGCCCCGGAGTTTGGGAAATGAGATATCAGGATCTGGCGCCTTTTAAACGCTCTGTCCTGTGCACTCCGAGCAAAGCCCCCAGACATCCCTGGTCCGAAAGGTTCAATGATTTCAACTTCCAAGTTTTCTTAGCATTTCGCATGGGAAGTCATCTCGGATCTGACCGCTAAGGAGAGGAGGAAGGTTCGCTTGGAGAGCACCTATTTTTATTTTAGTTGTTACCGTAGGCCCACTTGAGTCTAAAAAAATAGCTCACCCAACCCGAGGAAGGGCGGGAAGGTGGTGGACGCCACGATTCTGGGGGAGGTGGGTCCATTCCGGGTCCAGGGCGCTGTCTTGTACTGATAGCTAGTGGTGATTGCAAAACTGGGTTCGGACCCAAATCGAAATTGTTCGTTCCTCCAACTCCCTGGGAATATTTAAATCCGATCCCCACCCCGCAGGAGGTTGTCCCAACAAAAGTTCCTCCCCCCTTCAAAAAAATTACCAACTTTTCTCTTGCAATGAGAAGTCATTTCTAACGATTGGAGCAAAGGATTTCGTTTCTTTAAATTAACAGAATGAACACGGAACGTTGGTTTTCAGTTTGGAGGAAGGAGGCAGCGTTTATGTAGAAGGAAGTTTCGCTTTTTACGTCCTCCACGAGGGTATCTGCCCGCAGCTCCCTCCCACCTCCCTGCGCCTCCTTACCCTTCCCACCCAGCGCCCGGGTTGGATTCGGACGGGCACCTCTCTTCTAGGGAGAGTCGAGGCTTCGAGGCGGCGCTCGGCAGCACAGGGCAGGGCAGGGCAGGGCGGCAGGGCTGGGCCGGGGAGCTCGAGGGCCCACGGCCACAGCCAGCAGCGGGAGAGTCGGCTTGGGGCGACAGCGGCGACACGCTGTTGTTCCCACTTCTGGGCCGGTAGCGCAGTCGGCTGTCTCTTGGGTGCTTGCGCAGGCGCCCCCCCCGAAGCCTTCTCTCACTGCCCTCCCCGGGTTGTGGGCCTGCGTCAGGATGGCTCAGAGCCCAGGGACCGGGCAAGAAGGTGACTCTCGGGCAGATTAGGACCCCCGCTACCTGGCTCCAGCCCACACCTATAGTCTCCAGGGACGAGCGGGGCGGGATGCGTTCTTTTAGGAGATAAAGGGACCAGCTGTTGACATCCTACGTTCAGGGCTCTTAGGTACTCGCATCTCGGTTCCCAGCTGGGACCGGCTCAGGTGGGACCGAGGACGCGGCCGCGCGTGCCTTGACCTCACACGTCCGCGACTGTCCCCGAGGTACCGCGCACGGACTGTGCCGCTCGCCCCGCGCGACGTGGGGCCCGGAGACGCCAGGCCGGGGGTGCGGGGCGGAGCTAGCCTGGGACTGGCTGGGGCCGCCCCGCCCGCGCAGGGGCCTCCGCCGGCCCCCGGGGAGGAGTTATGGTAATTTCCTTCTCAATAAGGCGCTCGGGTCTCCCGGCGAGCGGCGGGACTCACGGAGCGGGCGCGGCTTCCCGGCCCACGGCAGCGGTGTGTACACCCGCGGTGGCGGCGACTGCACCCGCGAGCCGCCGATGCGCGTCCAGTGACTGGAACAGCAAGGCCCGCGCGCGGCGGGGGCGGCGGCAGACGCCCGGCCACCGTGACCCCGATTTTGGATTTACCGCTCGGGGGGTGGGGGGAACCTGGATTTAACTGGCGACTGTTTTGGGGGACGCCGGACGCCATGTTGTGGAAATTAACCGATAATGTCAAGTACGAAGAGGACTGCGAGGTGAGCTGGGCGCAGGGGCGCAGAGGCGCAGCCCCACCCCGCCCCGCCCCGCTCCACCGAGCGCAGCCCGCGAGGCCGGGACCCGATCGGGGACCCGCGCGCGCCGGAGCCTCGCCTTGCGGTGGCGGGACTGGGCGTCGTCCTCCGGACTCCCTAGCCCACTTCTGCGGGACCCCTTCCTGCGCCGGGCCCTTTCCTAAATACCCAGCCCCGGGGCCCGGCCTGGAAGGAGACTGGCAGAGCTCACCGGTCGGGTTCCTGCGAAGCCAGCGGCCCTTCTGCCCGCGTTCTCGGAAGCGCGCCCGCCTGCAGCCCCGAGACGCGGCTTTCGAGCTGGAAGTTTGAGTCCAAAGGGGTCCAATGAGGCTCCCTGCCGGCGACACCTTTGCGGAGTGTCCTCCGAGGCGGGCTTGTCACCTGCCCCGCTGTCTCCTCGGGGAAGCCAGAAAACAACTGAAGCTGGGCTTTCCAAGAGAGGTGGGGGCTGGGGCGTGCTGGGGGAGCTGGGGCCAGATGGGGCCGGGAGCGCTCGCGAGTGCTCCAGCCTGTCGGACAGGTTGAGCTAGAGTTTCGGAGAGTAGGAGGGAGGGAGGCGGCGAGCGGGAAGAGGAAGAAGATGCGAGTGGCGGGAGGTGAGCGCCAGCGCCCGCGGAGAGGGGAGCCCCGGGTGCCCCGGGTGCGCGGGAGCGCACAGCGCTGCGGAACCTCGGGGGGCTGCCCCTGCTGCAGGCGCGGACACTTCCGCCAGGGGGCGACGCCACCCTGTTTCTCGTCTTCGCCTGCCGCCCTTGGAGAGGCATCTTTTAGGAATTCGGTGGAGGCGAGTGGAGTGCGCAGGCCAGGTTGCCCAGTGTTCAGGGTCTTGCCTGCCCTCGGTGCACCCGGATGTGTGGGCACTCGGACCGCGGCCGGGCACCGCGTGGCCCCTCGTGGCCCCGGCGACTGCGCGGTCCCTCCCCGGTGCCTCGGGCGGCGTTGGGAGGCTGGCACTGCCTGGGAGCGTCACCTGCCCCGAGGTCTTTGTCCGGAGGGCGTGGAAGGGAGGGTCCCTGGGGTGGGGAAGGCGCGCCTCTCCCTTCCCCGGCTGCTTCCCCCACCCGCGCCACTGCGACATGTGCGGGCTAAAGAGCGAACGCGCTCGGCACTGTGTCTCGCGCCCGCCGGCCTCCTCCCCGGGCGCCGGACAGGGCCGCAGCCCCGGCCTTTCCTGGCCCAAGACCTGGGGTTCGGGCGTGGCACCTCCGGGCGCCTCGGGCACCGCAGCGCCCGGACCTTCGCCGCCGGGCGTGGAGGACGCGATCCCCCAGGTCTTGGAGCAACCGCCCCTCCCTGTGCGGGCGCGCGGCGCGCAGCGACACCCCGGGGCGCAGC